TCACATCAATTATTTTTGTATGTGAGTAGTACACGTAAAATACGTAAAAGATGTAGAGACGTATAAAAATAAAACAAAGCGTTAGATGAATTTTAAAATGGCGGAAAAGCAGCATTAATCAAAACTTCAAACTCAAATAACTTTCTCAAATCAAATGCTATTGAAGTAATTCTTTTTTTCGGATAATACAAGAGAATTTAGACTTTTTAAACTATATATCACATTAGAAAATCAATACGTAGGAGTATGAAAAAATAAGTATATTCTATTTGAGAAATCTGACTTTTCTCCATTTTACTGTATAGAGTGTTACGGCCGGCCAGCAATCGTCGTGGTCACTTCGTGTCTACTGGCCTACGGTTCTCGACCGCAACGCTTAATATTGAAAGTCGAATAAATTTTGTTTCCAGAAACACATTCTAATATTATTTTTATATCTTTTATGTAAAACAAACATTTTTTCATACAGAAGTATTTTTATAGAACATGTAGTTTTTAATATTTCAACTATTGAAAAAAAATACTTTTGTTTAGAAAAATACGACGAAGGGCTAATAAGTCTTTACAAAATCCAAGAGATTTTGTAAAGCGTAGACGCTTAAATTGTGGGTAAAGGCTCCTAGGCAGGCCTTCCTATGTATGTATATGTATATGTGTTCCAGGGAATGAATGGATATCCGTGTGAGAATAACTATATTTATTGACCGAAATACACGTCCTGACACCATGACGGTCAGTGAGGCAGTGCCCCAACGTTCTCTCGCTCGCCACTGCGATGGAACATCGCATACCTTACAAAATTATTATATGTTTGGCAAACAATACTACTAACTAGATATCGTACAAAGTTTCAGCTCGATTCATTAAGTTGTTTTTTTGTGAGCGTCGGTTGAACAAAACGTTACTGATTTATTTGAAAAATGAAAAAGATGAACCTCGTTCAGGACGCCCCGTAGAAGTGAGTACGCCCGAAATGGTTAACAAAATCCACGATATGGTGTTGAGTGATAGAAGATTAAAATTGCGAGAATTAGTTGAGGCCACAGGGGTATCAAACGGTACAATCATTTCAATTTTGCAAGAAAAATTAGCGATGAAAAAAATATCGGCAAGATGGGTGCCGCGTTTGCTCACTGTTGAAAACAAACGAACCCGCGTGGTCACCTCTAAGGCTCTTTTAGCACGCATACGTTGTAATCCGGAAGACTTTTGGCGTCGACTCGTAACTGTAGACGAAACATGGGTACACTATTACACTCCTGAAACCAAAGAAAAGTTCAAACAATGGATTACTGCAGGAGAATCAGCCCCAAAGAAGGCAAAGACAGTAAAGTCAGCTGGCAAGATTATGGCCACGGTTTTCCGGGATGCGTATGGAATCATCCACATCGACTACTTGGAAAAGGGCCAGATAATCACTGGACAATATTATGCGTTAGCTGAAAGAAAAAATCAGAGAAAAATGTCCTCACTTGAACAAAAAAAATGCCTCTTTCTTCAAGACAATGCTCGAGTTCACACGTGTGCAGTTTCGATGGCAAACATTAACGATTTAAAGTTCGAATTAATTGACCAACCACCATATTCGCCTGATTTGGCGCCCAGTGACTTTTTCTTATTTCCTAACCTCAAAAAATGGCTTGCCGGATAACGATTCAAGTCAAATGAAGAAATCATCGCAGAAACAAATGCCTATTTTGAGGGTTTTCAGAAATCATATTTTTCTGATGGCTTAAAAAAACTGGAAGGCCGTTTAATAAAATGTATCAACCTTAAAAGATATTATGTTGAAAAATAAAAAAATTACATACTCAAACTTTTTTTTCCTTCTTTTTGTAAAGACTTATTGATGCCCCCTCGTACATCGTTTTAAAAAGGATGTATTCAACTTTCAATTTTGATAAATTTTTTTAAAATCTCTTATTCAGAATTGAAATGGTAACTAATTGAGTGCGACCAAAGAAAAATGAATATTTTGTCTTTTGCTTTTTATATCTGGGATAATTTATTATTTTTCTTTTAATAAGATACAGCTTATTTCAAAGCTTTTCAAAGCTTATTTCAAACCTCGTTGAGGTCATTGAACTGCGATCATTTTTCGGCTAGAGGTAAAACTTCAAACATCTTCTAATATTCAGTTTATGTAGGAAAATACATGTATAGAAAAGTATATGCCAAAATACGAGGTGTGTTCAAAAAGTAAGGTGACTTCAAATTTCACGGGCAACGTACTTTCGATTATCGATTTTTTTATTTTGTTATGTTGGTACACTCTTCCCAAACATCTGTACCAAGTTTCAAGTGTATAGCATTTTTTGTTTGGTTGTGAGAGGCGTAAAGGTTATAAGTGTTTTGCGTGCTCGACGATTTCTTGCTATCGAAAAATATGGATCAAAGGATTTGCATCAAATTTTGTGTAAAAAATAAAATAAAGTGCTCCAAAATACTTGAGACATACGGTGAAACTGTTCTGAGTAAAAAAAATGTTTACAAGTTGTACAAACTCTTCTAAGATGGCCGGGAAGATGCCAATGATGAGCCTCGCTCTGGTCGCCCAAGCACGTCAACAACTGATGAAAACGTTCAAGCAGTGAAGAAAATTATTCTGGAAAATCGTCGAATCACTATCAGAGAAGTTGCTGAGGATGTTGGTATATCGCTTGGCTCGTGCCATGAAATTTTGTCTAACGTTTTGGGCATGAGACGTGTGTCAGCGAAGTTTGTTCCGAAATTGCTAAATTTTGACCAAAAGAACCGTCGCATAAGCATCGCTCAAGAACTGTTGAATGACGTCAACGACGACCCAGATTTACTCAAAAGGGTCATAACTGGTGACGAATCATAGGTATATGGTTATGATATCGAAACCAAAGTCCAATCGTCCCAATGGAAGAGCCCAGATGAGCCAAGACCGAAAAAAGCACGCCAAGTTCGATCAAATGTCAAAGTTTTGCTCACTGTTTTCTTCGATTACCATGGTGTGGTGCATCAGGAGATCTTACCATATAGACGTACGGTCAATAAACAGTATTATCTTGAAGTTATGCGCCATTTGCGAGAAGCAATACGAAGAAAACGCCCAGAATTGTGGAAAAACAATTCATGGCTTCTGCATCACGATAATGCCCCTGCTCACTTATCTTTGCTTGTGAGAAATTTTTTGGCCAAAAACAACATCACAATCATGCCTCAGCCACCATATTCACCGGATTCAGCTCCATGTGACTTTTTCTTGTTCCCAAAACTAAAGAGACCTATGAAAGGACGGATATTTGCAACGATTGAAGAGATAAAGATTACATCGCTGGAAGAGCTCAAGGCTATACCGAAAAGTGCTTATGGAAGTGCTTTGAGGATTGGAAAAACCGTTGGCATAAGTCTATTGTATCTGAGGGGGATTACTTTGAAGGGGACAACATAAATATGGATAAATAAATAAATATTTTTTCTTAAAAATACAAAGTCACCTTACTTTTTGAACACACCTCGTATGATTTGTTCTATTTTCTCCGGTCACTAACGTTTTTCATTCCACGGATACGTATGTGACGGGAGCAGGCGACGACTTTTGTCATACGCCGTTCCCTCCCCTCCTCTGCTCTCGACTGACCGAGCAACCGACATTGGGCGCATTCTAATTGTAAGAGTGTGCCTAATGCAGTTTGTTTTCTTTCAACGGCCAATAATGATCAATGAACCGAGAGAGTGAGTTAGCGAGGATGACAATGAGCGAGAAAAGGAGAAAGCGAAGAAAGAAACAGAGATAAGAGATCAAGTGTCGATATTGGGCAATGGTTCGCGGCAGGCGCGCGACCAACTAGCAGCGTCGCGTGCCGCCGCGAAATTAGGTCAAGCATCAAGAGAGAAAAGAGCTGAGCGATAGTTGAGGATAGGTATTCGGATAGTCACGAACAGGCAGTCAGGGAGTCAGGAGGAAGTTGTGAGAGAGTTAAGTATGAGGTGTCAGTTAAGCAAGAAGCAAGCGAGCGAGTAGCTAATCAATCAGCAGAGGACGTCAGCGGCAGAGTCGAGTACGAGGAGCGAGTACAACAGAGGTCATGAGAAGGAGCAAGAAGTCCAAAAGGAAGCTGCTCAGCGGGAAGACAATGACACGCCTTTGAGGGGATGTGGTCTATCTTTTCCCGCTCATCAAGGTATCGCAGCAGGACAAAGGTCAAGTGCTCTTTCAGAGTTTTCTCTCTCTGTCTCACAGATGTGGCGATCGTTCTCGCCCTTTACGGAAGCCGCGATAGTTCGGTGTTCACCGGCCAACTATTGCGAAGGTTCTCTGTGCCGGTATTCACGTTACTGCGGTGGCGATATTACGCCAGGTTATGAGTTGACTGATTATTGGGCTTCTATGTAAAGTAGGTTAAGTTATTGTGTAGAATATAGGATAAGATTTGGAATTGACGAGTCTATAGCTCTTTATTTTTTCTTTCTCTTACTCTAATCTTCTCTTAATTACTCAGAGCATGGTTGCCTCTCTTCCCCGCCCTAAATAATTAGTGACAAGCCATATTATCTCGTTACATGTATATCGCAAATTTCAATACGTGTAACGTCTTCCACGGTCTGTCTATACATGCTCGCGAGTGGCGAGCTACTTATAGCACGGTGTTGGTCGAATCGCGTTAATATATTATAACGTGTAAGCAGTAGTGAATTCTATTGTAAGTAGTGGTAAGCTTTGGTAGTATATCCATCTATATAATACTGACATTAAAATGTAGTCAGCAGTTTTTAACCACTACGTCTACTTATCTACAGCTCTCGATAAGAGTCCTCGATTTTGTGCATACTAATTTTTGTAAACTATTACGTCGTAGATTTCTGTTGTTAAATATATATTGTGTTACAGTTTCATTCTAATAAGATTGAAGGAAAGAGTTAGTCTTGAATTCATAAATTTGTTTTAAAACTACCATCTTTTAACTATTACCGAAAATGATTACTACTAATTGAGGAATACGGTGTTCACTACTTTTTTTTACTTTTAGGTAATGAGCATGGCTGAGTATGACATAACGAATATAGAACATGAAGCTCTACTTCTTGTTATTACTTCTACATTTGGAAATGGTGATCCACCTGAAAACGGAGAGGTAAATGTATTTAAAAAATTTTTTCATTTGCTTAAAAAAATATTGATAAAAGTTTGTACGTTTAATGTTGATTTTATTTCTATTGTGGAGCTCTCATTTACGACTCATGTTACATTGAAATCACTGGAAAAGCGGTTTTTCCCATTACACTCCTCCGCAAACATCATATTCCTTTGAACTAGAATCGGAGCTTGATCCCTTTTTTGTCTCTACACTCTGACGCCATTGATACACCTAACTACATTCTGCAAAAAAAAAGCAACAAAAAAAGCAACGTAACAATAATGATAAAATGTCACTTTCGTTTTGTGGGACAAGCAATTTTTTTCTTTCAATCTGGATGCTAACAACTATGCATTTTCTTTCGAAAGTCCTAAGTCTCGGATCAAATCACTTAATTCATGCTGACTGAAAGTAATTTTGATAGCTGTTCATCCTGTAAAGTTTCCTTGCTTTCAAATTCATCGGTGTCTTCAGATTGCTTACTATTTGCTAGTGAGTCAAAATGTTGGATAGCCAAGATAGGGAAATTGACAGATCGAACATCAGGATATTGTATAGAGTTTTTGTTTTTTTTGTTGTAGCCCACTGTTTTACACAAACAAAAATAATAATCTGTGCTCTAATCAAGAGGTTCTCTCTAAAGCATTGGACTAAGCATCCATTTTTCATAAGTTGCATCTTTAGTTAGAAAGATACATGTGACATTTGTAACATATGATTTTCGGAGCCCATATGTAGTCAAGAGTGACGAATGGTATATTAAAACATTTTTCATAATTTTCTTCTACATTAGAAGAAAAACGGAAGAACTTTTAATTTATTCAATTTTATCTACATTACAAAACGTATGTTTATATTATAATACAATACTAATATTGAAAGAATTCATTTATTTATAATAATATATATATTCAACAGATGTACTGAGGTGGCAATTAATAAAATTGCGAAACGTTTATAATAAAATAAGTGTGTAGTTTATTTATAGGGATGACTCCTAAGATCAAGATTACTAATATAAATCTTCTACATTAGTTGTGAAACTCCTTCTTTGTTCGGAAATCACATATTTTCCGCAAACTATGCAGAAAGTATCCTTTCCTTTACATACTCGTATGGACGTTGTTGCAGAGTACTTAATACGCCTGGAAAAAAATGATCGAAAAATAAGAAAGAAAAATATTTGATAAATGTTAAGTTGAGAATATTGTGATTTCTAAAATATTTACCAAAATCAGTCTCAGATATATTCAAGTATAGTGAATGTTCAGAACTTGTTTTATAACATCGGGTTTTTAGGGATGAAAATGTTTGAGATTTAAAAAAATCTGAAATTAAACCTACGGAGATGGAAACTTGAGAGTTTAGTTCTTGGTCGACGTATGATGGTTATGAGTGAAGAAATTTGAGACTTAAAAGTTATAAAATTATATTTTCGGATATGTGAATACTGTATCTGAAGGACGGATGAAGATATAACTAGGACTTACGTAAAAGAACGACGATAGGTCACGTTTGGAAATATATTCAAGCCCTTTAATTAAGTAATGGTGCTATTTTTTTAGTACGTGATTGAAATTCATCATTCCGAGTAAATAAGGGCAGTGACCTTCACATGAACTTGAACCTGAGTTGATGAGGTCAAACGAAGATCAGTATCGGTAGTAGTTTGTTGAAATACATGAAATATATAAATATGGTAAAGCATGGATAGTTTCGTCTTTTTTGCCTATACTGTGCATAGGCAAAAAAGACGAAACATTTGACCTTTGTAACGGTCCTATTTATGAGCTGTTTATTAAATGACTGCAACTAGTCTAACGTACTTATCTGTTTAGTCAAAACAATACATTAAGCGGCGCTACCTCACTGTTTACGCGACTGTATACAAATAAGAGTCGAGTCAAAACAAATAGCGTGACGTCACAAATAATAGTGTTATGTCTAGGCGAAATGATGTTACAGCCAGACGTAATAATATATTCAAGTAATGTCGCGTTGGTAAAGGTTGGATCTTAGTCAGGATTTAAGCAAAGGTTGGTTAAAGGGATAGCGCCTTTATTATATGTAGGGCGTTTTAAGTAGATAAAATAGTTCCTTACCTTATTAGGATTGGGTTTCAAAAGAGGTTTTTTATGGACAGTCTCAGGTGTTTGCGCTTGAGTTTAGATTTTATTGTTTAAAGATAATTATAATACTTAATAATCCCGGTTCTAAGTAGCCGGATAGTTAGACTTAAAAAACAACTTTGCGAAACTACTGAGTCGTAAATTGTGTATTGCGTACTGTATTCTATATACTGAGTAACTGCTATTGCGAACTCCAATCCAGCCTTTATACCGTGGGCTGATGTGCCCCTTCCTGTGATTTTGCCAATTTAATATGCGGTGAGTAATATTCGCGGAAGTATTGTGGGAACGTGCTTAGACTAATCTATCTCGCTAGATAGATTTACAAATCTTCCCGGGAGGGTTGGTACAATAGAAAACTAAATTATCGATACCTGGTTTGAAATCATAACTTATAATTCGTCACGTACTTTTTCTTTCGTATCGACGTGACATGCCCACCCCTCGGAGTCCTTTGCTGATAGAGCATGGGACTAGCGTTCTCCGAACGCTACTGCAATTATTTGATACATAGTTTTTTTTTTTTTTTTTTTTTTTATATAATTATTATTTTTGTATGTGTGTGTTTTTTTTTGTTTTTATATATATATTTTGTAACTATCATTATTGTTTATTATTATAAGAAATGGAAGGACTGGGGATAGGATCATAGTAACTCCAAATGATGAAACTGCAAGCTCCTCTGGAATCTACGTAAAAATTCCTTGCCAATACATCTGGCACAAGGGGCATTGCTGAGCATAAAATGCTCGGGGCGGACACATTCGGCCTCCATGGCTAGTTGTTGGTCCTTGGGAGCGGCTGCAACGCGTGCTCGGCAAAAGAAACATCCTTGCCAATGTGCGGTGTCTTGTCCGCACACACGGCATGGATGGAAAGGGGCTCGTCCGAATCCCTCTCCTCCATAGGTTTCTTCGAAGAGGAACTTTAAGTGAAGATGCCCGTGATGAGTCTCCTGGAAAATATACCGGGTCAGCTCGTGGTAGTTCCAGCTTCCATCGTCGTCTAATAGCGGCGGTTCGGGATGCTGCATGCTCGTCTGGGCCTCCCGGTTTTCCCATCTTGCGAATAGTCGTGTCCTGGTTGATGCCGATGTCCGACTGTTGCATATTTGTTCCGTTGTCCAAGATCGGTTTGCCTTCTTGCATGGTGGGCCGAGTGTGGTAGCTGCTGTGCGTTTCATCGTGCTAATTTTATGGAGTGTCTGATATGACAGAGGGTATATTGGTGTTTTTGTACCTTCTTTATTTTAGGGAGTGGGGAGAATTGGAGGAGTGTCTATTGTTTCGGATTTTTGGAGTGGGACCGCTTGCACGGCCACGGGTGGGGAGTGAGGAGTGTCGTAGTTGTTTGGTAGTCTAAAATATTTTCCGTCAAGTAATGTCTGTGCAGATTTGCAGATCATTCTTTTTTGAGGAGTTAAGGGTGGATTAAGTTCTTGCATTGGTATATTTTCGAAACCGCGGTCTCTGTCACTGCACACTCTGTATGCGCAAAGTATGCAACTTATTGCGATTACGGATACGACAACGATTACAATGGTTACACCTAAAGTTAAATATACGTGCAATAATTTCGCTCGGTCCGAGTGCTCGTGACTGTTCTGACTACTGTTTGTGTTTGGGCTTTTCATTACTATTTTGTCTGTAGTTACCAAAGAGATTTTTGGAATTACAAAATTTTCCGCATTTAGTTTTTTCTTAGCCCCTAAATAAATATGGTGGCTCGTTCTAAGTTCGCATGGCTGGGGAATCTGTATCAATCCGGTACCATTCAAAGGAAAAGGTTGTACTATGCCGTTACAATTAATATCAAAGGAAGTATTGAGATTCACTGAGTATAGCAAAACATTACTTTGTAACGTTGGTATAAGATAATAGTTAGTTTCGGAGCTAGTTTCAAGTTGGCAAAATACGAGATTTGACTCTTCCGGTGATGTTAACAGGCTAAACTCGCAGGAATTATTGTTTGGCTTGCGTATAGTCGGGCACGGGCACATATAGAAGGAAAAAATACGTTTACACTCGTTATCAATTAAATTCTTGCTTACAAAGGTATGGGTAGCTTCTCCCTCTGTCACAGTCAGGTAATCACTTTGTGGTTTAATGAATTTAGCGATTTGGTTAGTTTTGTTTGGATACTGGAATACTGGCAGTGAATACAATTTGTAAGTTTGTGTATTGCTGCTTGCGACAAGGGGAAAAACTACTTCGACAATGATGTTCTTACGAAAGTAGACTACGTTAACTTCTGCAATTTGTTGTAGTGTTATGATATTGATTTTTGACATATGTACTGGCAACTTTGAATTAGTGCTTGCTTTGATAGTTTTTATCGCGTTTAGCAAAAATTGCGGATTGAAAAAAAATTGTTTGTTTTGCAGGAGTTGACGTACTTCGGTTGATATGTAAGTAAACTTATGTAAAATGTCGTTAATTTCGGCTAAAATAAGGCTAATGTGTGTAGAGTTATATACTGGGCTCATTGCGCTAGTAATGAAATCTGCGCGAGATTTTCTAAAAAGCAGAAGATTTGTCTCTGATTGTAAATTATTTTCGGTAATATAAGTTAAGTCATACTCGCCCATTTGTTCGGTCGAATTACTCTCGCGCATATTCAAGACATCTTTAAGGGCCTTATCGGCATGTTCGAGTAAGAGGCTGTCCAGCGATGCTAGGGCATCCCGCCCCCCGTTGGGTGTGTCAGAAGTGTACGCGTTGAGAGAGGTGCTGACTGCTTCGTTGATGTGTTGGAGTTTTTTTGTTTCTTCGTAGGCTGTGTATATAGCATTTTTGATGAAATCGTTTATCTCGATTGTGTTGCAAGCTGCAGATATTTTTTCCAGCGTTTGGGTGAAATTGTGATGAA